GCTGGTAGGTTTCAACCACCTACCTTGTAGCTCTCAGTTCAGTGCTGATCCTGCAGAACTACTCCAGATTTCTCTTAATGGTCACCTAGAATCGGGAGAAAGATGAGGCATTCTGTTCCCATAAAGATTTACAACCTCGGAAATCCAGTGCAAGGGTCACTATGAGTCGGAACCGACTCCGTGGTATTTAATAACAACAACAGCCTCAGAGAGGAAACTTTCCTGTTTGCAATTGTCTCCTCCTTGCTTCCTGTAGGAATGATTATGGGAGGAGATTTCTTATTCTCTGTACCCTGTCACCAGGGGAAGATAGAACTTTGAAAACTCATCATGGTGTCTATGATTTTTCTGTGTTTGTCTTATATTTACTTTTGGTTAAGACTTAATAAAGCCTCTGTATAATGTTTATATCTCTGAAGATGAGGTCTCCTTTCTCCCCTATATCAAATGGCGTAATCATTAACAGGATTCACATTTCTTTCCTGGTGGGATCTCTGGGTTGTTGTTGTGGTGAAGTGCCATTGAGTCGATTCTGACCCATAGCGACCCTGTATAGGGTTTCCAAGGAGCAGCTGGTGAGCTTGAACCACCGACCTTGCAGTTCAAATGATTTTGCAGTCTGCAGCATTAGCCCACAGAGCCACACCAGATCCCATGGACTTGTAGGCACTGTAAAAAGGAAAGCTTACCTCCAAAGTACTCCAAATACCCAGGGGGGAACTGCAAAGTAAGCACTCTTGGATTTTGAACCCATTTTTCATGTCTTAAATCTTATTATGTCTTAAATCTTATGTATGGGTTTCTCTCTGTCTAAAATTCTGCTTCTATTCATTGTTTTTACAATTTCTGTCTGCTCTCTAGTGGACAATTTTGGTCAGAATTCCTACAGTGGGACTCCCTATGGGCATTTTAAGGGAAGTAAAAATTCTATTTTTCTTAGAAAGCATCAAGTCTTTTGTATGCACTTTGGTGGCGGAGCCCTGGGGATCTTGAGCCCTTGCTGAGAAACCCAATGCTCTTTGTCACTTGTAAATTTTCCTGTCAGATTGTAGTGAAATCACCATGAGTCTTGCAAGAATTGGCAGGGGGAATGGGCAGCAGTTTCTGACTTATTTTGGAAACACATGTTTGTTCAGAGAATTCTTGGTAAGTTTAAGATGGGTTAACCTAAATTAAGGTATCTTAAAAATTATGTCGCTATTTTCGTATATGTGTGAAGATTGTGTTGCTTTGTTTATATTGTATTATTTGAGACTGTCATGTTGTTGCAACATAGAATATAAGGGGAGACATTGGTCTTGGTTTTCCTCTCCCATAAAAATTACATGAGATTCATTTACAATTTGGCTGTTTTCTGTTAACCTTTAAATCACCAGTTTATCTAAAGAGTGCTCTATAGAAAAAAAAAGGCTGTTTTCTGTTAACCTTTAAATCACCAGTTTATCTAAAGAGTGCTCTATAGAAAAAAAAAA